CGTCCCGGGGTGATCACCTCGGTCCCGTTGGGACCTGCATCCCTCCCAGACATAACGCTTCTCCTTCCCCTCCGCGCTGGGGCTTCGGGCGCGCGGAGCCGCTCCCCTTCCCCAGAGCAGCGGGACCTTGAACCGGGGAGCCCAGTCCCCCGGCCCTACAGGCAGCTTACCCGCAGCTTGGGGGTGCGATGAAGTTTCCACTCCTTTAGGGTTAAGGATGTTTTTTTTTTCCCCACGTATAAGGAATTCGCCGTTTATCAGCTGCGCGCAGCCGTTCCGCCCGTGGAAAGGAGATGATCCATAAACGGGAAGTCGTCACCTGTTTCCTGATACTCAGTTCTCTAACTAGAAATTGTTCTTCTAATGGTTATTTCACCTTTAGAAGTTAAGTTCATGGAGCTACCTGAAAAAAAATATCCTGTAGTGGGCAAATAAGGATTGGGTACATATAATATTTATATTTAAATATATGAGTCTTGCATCTGATAAGTGTAGACTGTGACTTAACTTTGGCCATAAGACAAACTCAGCTATTCATCAGTTTCAGACCTTCTCCTGAATTTTTCTGTTTTAGGGGCTTCATAAGGCAAATGTTTCCTCTCATACAACGATGCTACTTCCACGCTCATTTCAAGGTAAGTTTCTGAAGCTGCCTTTGCCATCTATTTTTCTTTAGAATAGCAAAAGGTATGACTGGAGCCTTGAAGACTTACAAATTAAGAATAAGAGTAGCCACACATTTAGCAGACAGCTTTTCTGAGATAATTTGTAATCTTTACAGCAGCTTTTAGCCACAGCTAAGATACTTCTTTTATAAAATCAAGTTTTAGTGTCGAAAGGCCTTTTTTCCCCCCTTAGTAGGTTTTTTTTTGTTGGGTTTGATTTTTTTTTTTTTTTGTAGAACAGTGAGGGGATAGTAGCTAGTTTCTGGGATAACCTTGTCCTACTTCTGAAATAATTTTATATTCTAATCTGAAAAGGACTGATACATCTTAACTTAAAAATGCCTAAAGAGTGTGTGCATGGGTGGAAGGCTAGGTGGATATACAAACCTGTTGTAGTAAGGTTTGCTTATTCATTATGAAAAGCCTAGTTGCTATTCGTTAGCTAGCTAGCTTGTGAAAGCTGTATCAGTTAGCTTCATCAGTTAAGTTAAAAACACCTGAAAACCAAGAGGAAGGGCAGCTGTGATGTGACCTGACTTGGAACACTACTTGGTACAATATTTCATAGGTAGTTTAGGTAACTGTAGATCTACAACCCTATGTTGTAAGGTGTTCAGAACAAGCTTTATAATTGCAGCTCCAGACGTTACCTGTTCCCAGACTACTACTGTATGGAAAGAATAAGACAACTTGCTCTTCTCTTGGTCTCCACCGTCTGCAGAGAGATGTGTGTCTCCTCTCGAGATCTTCAAGCCTCAACCCAGCATCAATACATGCAGCCAAGCTCCAGGCTTTTCACACCTCTCTCCCCTTCTTCAAGAAGAAAACCCCCAAAGAATCTGAGACCGAAGACTCGGGCATATTGCAACGAAGTATGAAATCACTAAAGGATTCTCCAAAGCCAGCCCTTTACTTAAGCCTCGCAGGGCTAATTCCATTTGTTTCTGTGCCACTGTCAATGGTCATCCAAGGGACCTACTACCCAGAGCTGGCGTTTGCTCAGATTACGTATGGTGCTGTAACAGCCTCTTTCCTAGGAGGAATGAGGTGGGGGTTTGCTCTCCCAGAAAACAGCCCGGCCAAGCCAGACTGGCTGAACCTGGCTAACAGTACAATTCTTCCTCTACTTGCCTGGCAAGCCTTACTTTTTAAAGATATCACTCATGGTGCAATAATGCTGGTAATGACCTTAGGGATAGCACTACATTATGACCTTTCCCTTCTTCCTACTTACCCTAGGTGGTTTAAAGTACTGAGGGTAGTGGGAACAGTGGTGATGGTATTATCACTATTAGCTACTGTAGCATTGAAGAGTTTTTCAGAGCAGCAGCTAAGTAACAGCAGAAATAAATGGCAGAACACAAAATAATAAATCACTAGTGAAAAGCTATTTATCTGCCAATAAGGTATATGTATTGAGTTTCAGGGGAAATAAAGACTTATTTGTGCTTGTAAGTCATATGATGGCAGTGAGCAAGATGTTTATTCTCGAAGCAAACAACTTAGCTGGTTTAGGAGGGACGGATTGTAAGTAGCAATGACTTCCAAGGCAGGCACAAGTCTGTCCTTATCTGTAGAACAAAGCATCGCTCTTGAATGAAATGTTACTGTTATGTGAATTTAAAATACAGATTCAAATGACGTGGGTATGAATTGCTCTATGCTGAATTATTAAAGTATCTAGTTTAACTATAATGCGTGATAATATTATGTGGTGGGGACAACAACGGTGTAGTCATGAACTGACAAGGTGAAAGCAGTTCTAGTTTAGTGTTTAAAGAAGCAGCAGAGAATTATGCAAAAGTACATATATGTTAAATTCCTATGTTGTGGGACAAAACTCTTCTCTGTCTTCAACCGAGAAGGTGCTGAAAATGTTACGTGATTAAGTGCTAGTCAGGCTTGCAGTGGTAAGCCAAGGTCAGCGCTCACCTGAAATATGTCATCCAGCCGCAGTGATGGAGCGGGGAAAGCTAGAAGGGGAAGCTTTGTATCCTTGACAGGGTGCCACAAGAGACAGAAGGTTACTTCCTACTCAGGCTCAAGTCAAAAAGGATAACTGGGCCATCTGTTCCTAGGTGGTGTTTGGACTTGGGGTTGCCTAGCTAAGGAAGCTACGTACAACACAGCCATAAAGATGTGTCAGGCTCCTGAATTAAAGTGCTATCAACTGATGATATGACACATGGACTCAGTTGCTGCACTAAGGGATCAGATAATGGGATTGAAAGTTGTTTGTGTCTACTCCTCAAAACTTGTTTTATTTGAGCACCTGGACATGTAGCCAGCAAACCCTCCATGATGGGCCAATTATTGAAAATACTGTAGGAGCATATGCTCTTTGTACTTCCTGAAGGGAAGAAGACACAAACTGAGTTGTGTGGATTTTCTTTTCTAGCTTCAGCTACCTCAAGAAACCTATGAAATTGGATGTGGGCATATTTACTGTGGATTTATCATCTTAAGTATTCTTTAAAGTACAGTATAAGAAGCTGAAAAGTGACATCCACACACAATCTTAGGACCAACTTAGATAATCCTCATAGTTCTCTTAAAGCACTATTATTCATTGTTCTATACAGAATAAATCACATACCATCACTTAAAATTTGTTATCTGTTCATTCTGCAAAGAACAGATGTTTAGGAAACCTGCCTGTCCTGAAGATACAACCATCTTATATGGTATTGCTGAAACAGCAGCTATGCGTGTGAGCCTTGTTTTTGTAACCTGCTAACCTTTACATGTTAACAGCATAATACCTCTGAAACAGCAATGTATTTCAGTGCTCTCTGAATATAAAGAAAGTAAAATTGAGTTTGTGAATGAAAACAGTTCTTTTATTCTTTCATACTTAGACATGGCATTTTTTAAAATGGGTCCAGAGGAGAGTACTGCCTTTGGCTTGATTCAGGGCAAGAGGTGCCGAGTATCAGAGACCAGAATCAAACAACTTCAAAGTTTCATTCAAACATGACAGAATCAGCTACAAAAACAAGAAAGTAACTTCATACAACAGCAGACTAAACCGTAAAGTTTACAGCTAGGTATCAGAAGTGAACTCATAGTTCCCAAACTAATAAAATAGAGCTAATGTAACGTTTCTCAAATGGTTCACCAGGGATCCTGAAATACAAAGCCTAAGAAATATTACCTATCGTTTGATCCCAGGGAGGGCTGTGCAGAGCTGGCAATGCAGCCAGACTTCCAAGAAGTCAGAGTGATTTTAAATTGAGAACAGAAATATTTGAGTATTTTACTACAGAAGTGTGTTACTTGCACCTTTCAAATATTCAATATTTATAACCTATAGAGAAATAGGACTTCAAGAAAAAAAAGGGAAAAAAAAAAAGAAAGTGGCAGTGATACAACTCATGGTAGGAAAGCAACCTATTCAAGAGCATTCCACAGTCAGTTCTGAAAATGAATTTTATTATGAAAAACTGTTTAAAACAAGCTTAAACTTGGGAAAAACCCGACAGAATAGACATTAGTTCACACATGTAAGAAATCCTTTTGAAGTAAAAGCACACGCAAGATTATAGAATGATCAGAGAAACAAACGCTCCATCGTCTAGCATGTTTTAGCCTGGCAATCTCCCAGCCCTATGTCAGGATGTAAGACCTAGATTCTTAAGGTAGCTTACAACATTCACCTTGGAGGCTTTTATTCATGTATTAATTTGTTAATTTTACACAGGAGACACTGACCTAGACAGCATGAACACTCCTTTGTCTACACAGTGTAGGCTTCCTGTTTTGTGACATTCCAGTTGTGGTTTTGTGTTCTAGAATAACACTGTCTATCAAAGTTCAAGCAGCCTTATTTCAGACTCCATCTAATTCATCCACAGCTGTGCTGAAAATGCAATCGTATTGTGCAAAAAGCAACTTCAAGTATATTAATTAAATGAATCAAGAAATAACTCCAAACTCCTAGTGGCGTTGTTCTACTAAGTGTATCCAAACTAAATACAAACTCCTTAAGACAAAACACACTAATAGCATCACTTTAATGCTGAACGCAGCTGATTCTATCACAAAAAGCTCCGTCCACTCAAATTTGGAAGAGGCAGGATACAAGATGCAGCAAGGTGAATGTGTGTACCTTGTAGAATAGCATGTATTCCAATGCCAAATCTCAGCATGTGTCACACAGGGTAAAAACACATTTAACTAAGGGAAAAAAAAAGGGCAAAAGGCTTTCCCTGTATTTTTATACTAAGAGCAGTCCTAAACAGAACAGCTAATCTAGTGAATAGCATTTCCATTTAAAATTCATCACGGCTTGCACAAAAAGGAGCTCTACTGTCATCACTGATACCACTGAGAAGAAAAAGCCTGTGCTGAAGTGGAATGACATTATTAGAACTGTGAGAATAATCTTCCAGAACAGTAAATTCTCAGCCACTCACCATCCAAGTTAGTGGGGTGGCCAGAAGGAAAATATCCAATTCATATTTAATGCCTGTCATGTCCAGCAGCAGAAAAGAGGCTCAAATGCATCAAGGTCATAAGGAGAGGTGCCAAGTCTTCCCCATCTGTTATCTTCTGTTCCTTGTTTTCCACCGGAAAAGGAACAACTAATGCTAACCACCTGCTCTTATCTACAGGTAACTCCAAGCTGTCTATAGTAGCCTCCTTCCAGATTGTAAGGCCAGCTAAAGACGCTAGCTTTGGTGCACCTTAGAGAGTTAACAACCTCATTAATGTCTCTAATGTGCTGGAATGATTTCTCCAGATTTTATAGGGCAAATTCACCATTTATTTCAGTGAGCTTAATCCAGTCATAAGAGGCATTCCTACTCAGAATACTTCCTGAGACAGACATCAGATAAACCAATTTACTCTGAAGGGCAAGAGTTTTAATATTTCCTTTTGCTCAGGAAAAACCCTCTGATCTAATTCTCCACTGACTCTGCTGAAGCTCCTGTGTTAGAAGAGGTGTCTGGACAATAAAACCAGAAATCTGAGGAGACAGATTTACTCATTCCTTGAATGAGTTTTCTTTGCGTTTTACAGCACAGCTACACCTCCTTCGCAGCGGCTGGTGATCATGTTGGCAATTTCAGTCCAACTGTCCATATGAGGGTTATAAACTTCAACAGAGTCAGAGGTTACTGGAGCAGCAAAATCATGACTGGGAGCTCGGCCTCCTGAGGCATAAAGAAATCCATTCACAGCCACAACGCAGACACCAGCTCTTGATATCTTCATCGGTGCAACTTCAACCCACTTTTCCTAATGAGAAAGTGAAAGAGTCCGCAAGTAGTTTTAGGGTAAGCCCCAATTCTGACAGAAGTAACTTTTAAAGCTTAAAGTCTGAAACATATACAAAGAACACTATGCATGCACTTCACAGGTTCAAATATGGTATGTGTACAGTATCAAGAGGATTATCAAAACTGTAACAACAACACTTTCACAAGTGGTCAAAATCATGCTAGTCACTAAAGAACAGATCATGTACACAACGACCCTCCCTTTCTTCAGTCACTAAAGACGCAGTCTGTCTCCAAAACAGAGAATGGTATACAGTTTGAGGTGTGAAGTAAGGAAAACTAGATTCACTTCCAAAAGAAAAACAGAAAGCCACACTGGATTATGCTCTGCTTTTAACACTAGCTACTGTTCCAAAGAGCATCATATAAACATGAGCAATAATAGTCAGGAATAATTTCTTATCTTATTCAAAAGCTTAAACGTTCAAAGTGATTTTTCTAGTCATGCTGAAACACCACTACGTTTTGATGCAGAAGAAAGATCTTCAACTTTTGCAACAAAGGGCAACTCCTACTTTTTCAGGGATTTTTTCCTCTCGTCGGATTATTGACCATTCTATTGCAGAGGGGGAATCTACCCCCCCATCTTAACCCTAACAAGTATTTACCAAACTACAGTATATCTATGCATCATGAGTATTTGTTAGCTTTCTGTTTCCCAAAAGCATGCATACAATCTTTGTAAACAGTCCACTAAGTCAGATAGCAAGATTCTACAGACTGGTTAGGACAGACAGACCCTGAGGTCACTGAAGCTTTGTTTCACTCAGGTTACCAGCCAGTAGTGAAAAGGAAATGGAATTTCCAAGTTTTTTTCTTTTTAAAGGAAGAAGCAGGGTACCTTTATAGCATCTTACACAAAGTTGATGCCACCTACATTTATGAAAGACAGGGACTCTACCATACCTCTTCAAAGGAGTATCTTTCGACAGTAGCAAGTGCATCCTGAGATTCATTCCAGCCTCCCACAGCATAGATACAATCGTTGAGAGCAGCTACACCAAGATACGCTCTTCGGGTGCCCATTGGAGCAAGCTCAGACCAGCGTTTAGATATTGGGTCGTAGACTTCAACAGAACGTAGCTCT